TGAATAATTAACAACAACAACAACAATGCGATTTGTTTAGGATTCGTGGTCGTACAAGAGACCAAAACTGATCGGTGATTATGAAGGGCTGAAAATCAACGTTTACAACCGACAGTATATATGTTCTGATATCAAGAACGAGTTGGGCCTCGTTGAAGGGGCCTTGACTGCTTTCCAGGGCTCGGTCTTTGCTCCGTTCCTCCAGTTTGATGATAATGCTAATGTCTCTGCAAAGGCAATGCATGGGGTTCTTTCACGCGAGGTGACTCGTGGCGGTCAGAACTCGAACGAGATGTGGTTCCGTATTGGTAACCATCTTACCCAATTCTCCACCCATGAGTATGCTGTGGTGACCGGGCTTTCTTTTGGATTGTCTGCATTTGACCCGAACTCAGCACCTCCTCCTTCTCCATCGTCTATTTTCTATGAGACATATAAAGGCAAGCGGGTCACTGTGCAGCAGCTGCGTGATGACTTCAATGCGGGGCAGTTCCGTTACTTTCGGGATGTGGTAGTGAGAGTGGCGAAGATGCTAATGCTCATGTACTTCATAATTCCTCATGACGACAACAAGCGTCGGTATATTGATACCTGCTGGTAGGCTTTGCTCGAGGACGACCAATGTGGGAGAAGTTCCCATGGGGGAGTTACTCGTTTCAGTACCTGCTGGACTACTTGAAGACGGCCCAGTACAATAATATGAAATATCATATCTACGGATTTCACTGGGCATTTCTAGTATGGTGCTATGAGGCAATCCCTGCATTAGGCCGTGCATGTGGAGAATGTACCTCGGTGAAACGTCCACCACGGCTGGTTCACTGGGAACTGAAGAAGTTCACACTTCCAAATACATTTTTTGACCAACAGGTATTATTTGATCTTAATCATTTTTATTATTATTATTATTGGAATGGTTAGCAAGTGATATCCGAAATTCTTTTTTAAGTCTTAACGATTTCTGATGATTTCTTTATTTTTATGTTCTATTTTTTAAAATTTAGTTGGAGGTGATTGAGACACTGGCGCTGAATGAGGATGAGATTGGCGTGTTGGACCTCTCGAACTTGAATGTTCAGGGGCCTCGATTTTTGCGACGGGTTAACCCGGCCGGTCACCGTATGCACCGGGAGGAGGCGAGGCCAACAGATGGGTCGGCCTTTATTGAGGATATTCGCGCGTGCATACAGGCTGAAATGGCTAATGTTATAGCCAGAATATCCTCTGAGGTGTCAGCAATCATTATACGGGAGGTGCCGACTATTATTCGACAGGAGTTGGCTAATCTGTCGCACCCCCATCTGGGACAGCCCCCTCCCCAGTCCGAGCCAACCGTCAACTCAACGAGACGGCGTTCCGCCACCTCCTCCCGTAAGAGACAGCGTTCCACCTCCACCTCCCATAAGAGCTAGCATTCCCCCATCCACTCCCGTAAGAGACAGCGTTCCTCCACTCCCATCTCCGAGATAACCACCGCCAACCCCTCCATCTTCGAGACAGCCGCCAATCCCATAATAATCGAGACAATCGTCGATTCCCTCTCCACCTCCACCTCCCATGATAGCCAGCATTCCCCCACCCACTCCCGTAAGAGACAGCGTTCCTCCACTCCCATCTCTGAGACATCCGCCGCCAAACCCTCCATCTTTGAGACAGCCGTCCCCAATTCCCCCCTCGAGACAGTTGTCGATTCCCCCTCCACCTCCACCTCCCATGATAGCCAGCATTCCCCACCCCCTCCCGTAAGAGACAATATTTCTCCACTCCCACCTCCGAGACAGCTGCTGCCAACCCCTCCATCTCCGAGATAGCCATCCCCAATCCCCCCCTCGAGACACCCGTCGCTTGCACCTCCACCTCCGAGACACCCCTCCCTGAGACAGTCGTCTCTACCACCTCCAAGACACCCGTCGCTCCCACCTCCACCTCCGAGACACCGGTGTTGCAGTCCACTTCTTCTCTGCAGTCCTCGTCTTTGGAGATTAAAGTTGATCGACAAAGACGACCAGGACGTGCTGTTGTAAGTAGTCCATATCGAACCGAGGAGAACAGACGGTATGCCGAAAATAAGGGCGAGTTTGAACGGTTCCTCAAATCCATGAATAAGGAAATGTAATTACATCCAAAAGATCTTTTATTGTTTATATTTAAAAAAAATAACTTTCTATTATATTATTTTATAGGAGCAATGTCGGCATTCCATATGAGGTGGGCAAGGGGTGGTTTCAGGAATTGGTTAATCCGAATGAAATGATGCTTGAGGAGGTATGTATATGTTTGTCTTGTAATATCTTAACATATAAAAGCTCGTTCAGAGAGGGTAGGTGCTATGTTATGAATTGATGGATGATGTTTGGTTTGATTTTATAAAACAACACGTGAATGCATACTTGGGGATTATGCAAAACAATCCATTCTTTTTGGACTTGGAGCCACGGCAGGATATGTTGGGCACTTACACCATCGTGCCGACTACGTTTTTTGTGAGATTATTTTAATCCTTTCTCTTTTTCTTGTCATTCAATTTTTATTCATAATTATATTAATAACATTATTATTTATTATTTTGTTGTATTTTATATAGATGATGCTGGATGAATTGGAGAAGGAGATGGATAAGGGGGGAGTGGACCTGGAATCGGAGGCCCTCCGATCTTTCATTCGCATTGCGTGTGAGGGGGTCAGCGGTTGGGGGAATCCGTGTCCTTGGAAGGGGATTAAAATATGTAAGTTTTGAATCAATTAATATTGCAATCTTTCCTAAAAAATTAGTGAATTTCTCACAACTCAATGCAACAGATTATTGGAGTAGTGAATTTGTCCAACCACTACGTGACTGTCATGATCTCTTTACTCAAGGGGACGATAAGTGTGTTTGACCCTCTACGGCGTACGTATTTAGAAAAGAAGAATGAGCACATTCGCGAAAATCGCGTCAAAGGACTCCAAAAAATCCAAAATCTAATTCCATTGGTTGCGACGTATGCGGATGTAGAAAGAGTGAGCAAAAAGTTCGAATTGGAATTCAAGGACCCTAAAAATACTATCTTGCAACATGATAGAATTAATTGTGGTGTATGCGCTGTGGAGATGGTAGAACATTGCTCACGAGGACGATGCGTTTCAAGAAATCTAACTATCAGTTGGCTAAAGCAATGAGGCACAAAATTGCTCTACAAATTTTTCAGTTTAGTACAGAACCAGACACAATAGTTTTTAATGATTTATGTAATATATTTTGATTATTTTTTTTTTTTTTGCATTTTATTATAATTTTGTTGTTTGTTGTATGTATGTGGCATTTCTCATACCTGAAAGAAAAAAATAAACTAAAGTAAACGATGAATGATGAAAGAAATAAAAAATAAACTTTCGAGTAGAAGTGCGAAGGTGGTATGCGAGCAATATGCGGCAATTCGCATACACCAATCTCATAACTGAAATAACTGAAAGATGAAAGAAATAAAAATAAACTTTCGAGTAGAAATGCGAAGGTGGTATGCGAGCAATATGCGGCAATTCGCATACCCCATCGCATAACTGAAATAACTGAAAGATGAAAGAAATAAAAAAAACTTTAGAATAGAAGTGCGAAGGTGGTATGCGAGCAATATGAGGAAATTCGCATACCCCATCGCATAACTGAAATAACTGAAAGATGAAAGAAAAAAAAATAAATTTTTGAATAGAAGTGCGTAGGTGGTATGCGAGCAATAGGCGGAAATCCGCATACCCCATCGCATAATTGAAGATGAAAGAAATAAAAAATAAACTTTTGAATAGAAGTGCGAAGGTGGTCAATATGCGAGAATTCACATACACCATTGCATAACTGAAATAACTGACCAAAAAAAATTATTATGCACCAACTTTGCGAATAATATGCGACGTTGGTATGTCGCAGTTGTGTCGCGAATAATTTTTTCGACTAATAGTCGCAGATTCATTCGCCTAACAAGAATAATTATTTAATGGGCGACGGACCGCGATTGACCGAATCGTACATCGAATCTCCGCATATTCATCGTAGAACAGTCGCATACTTTAACTCATAATTTTCTCTCCCATGCTCATATATGTCGCCTATTTATTGCATAGTTAATCGCATATGTCTTCGTACTTTTTGGGGTGAAAAACTTAGCTTTTTATTGGGTGGTGTGAAAAACTTAGTATGACTTTAGAACGGGGTGAAAATAGCTATTTTCTTTTAATTTAATAGTACTTTTTATAATATAAATTGTAATTTATTAGATTATACTGAAAATGAACATTCTTACCATATTGTGCATTTTCATACGCATTTAATGTGCATTTATTTCTTATATCTATTGTGCATTACATATCACGTGTATATAATGTGTGCACAGTTCGACTAAAGTATAAAAAAAAAATCGACCAAACACGGATGGACAAGACGATATTCCTCTCCCCCTCCGTACCCTCATACGAATAGACCAGATGATATACCCTTCATTCAAATTTGTGTAGCCAATCCTTTCTTTTGGCGCATCTGCCAAACTATGATGCTGACTTTTTTGCCGGGCTCTCCCCGAACCAGGATCTATTATTTTTGTATTTCTATATTTTTCCTTGTATATTTTTTAGCTTTCGTTTTTTGTTTTTCGTTTGACTTGATGTATATCAGATATTGGAATTGTAAAAAAAAATAAAGTACAATCCCTCTGCGAAAGAAAGTAAATCTAAAATGTACTTCAAATTTTCGTGACTCTATAAAACCAATACTGTTAGAAAAAAAAATGGAAAAGTAGCAAAACATACTTTTATTTACCCACAATTTCCGATCTTTGATTTATAGAAAGAGCTAACTTACAGGCATGTTGGAATTAAAAAGAAATATCCCCTTACAGTCCGAGGTGAGATGATGAGCGTATTTGGAACGCACTGAAACTAGTGATTAACACCTCTTTGGGATGAACCCTAATCTATGGCCGCCAACATCGTACACAACCTCGAATGTTTTCTGCTGCGTAATGCCGAAAGTCGCTATATTAGTGTCCCCGCTGGTGAACGCAAGGCGCATTAGCGATGCGTTGTAAACTTTAACTATCCCGAAAAAATCTAAATCGACTTTCACGTTATTCTGAAAGGTGAATGGCACAAATGGGATAGAATTATTTGTTTTATGAGGAACAAAACAAATGTCGAGGGATGAGCCATCAGAAAGTGGTTTTGCCTTCTTGTATCCGTAATTGTTGAGCATAAGCCGCCTGAATTCGGTGCTCAACGCACTGTATACACCTTCCGGGAGTTCAGTGATGTATATGCTCGAGTCTATGAAGGTGTTGGTAGATCTCAAGAAAGCACTTGGGTTGTATTGTAAGTTGCGGCCGTCCACGGCTATGGCGATTATGTTGATGAAATACATATATTCAGAAAATAATATAGTAATCAAAGGCGTAAATTTTGTGGTACAATCGTAATCTTTTTCGAGTACGAGGAAGCCTTTGGAGGATGGGTTGGAAGGCATGCAGCAGGAGAAACATTGATTAAATGTATTTGCAGTTTGGACAACTATGGACGTGTTGGATCTGCCGAGGGCCAAGAATCCAGCTTCAAGTCCAAAAGTTCCCTGAGCAGAATGGGTACAGCCGAACTTGAAAGCAGGGACTGAAATGTTTGGTGCAATTGTAAGTGTGTCCTTGCTGAAGTCGCCACTGATTTCGGTGCCATCGTCGTCTTGGAAATCGTAGAAGCAGTTGCCAGTTTTGGAGCAGTTGGGACCAGAAGGGGAGTCGGGATCCATGATAGAGCATTGAGTGGATTTGCAGGGGATGTGGGAGCAGGAAGTGCATTTAAAGGGGTCAAATAATGGGCCTTTCTATCTATGGCACCTCTTATCGGGGCACAGGTTGCATTGAAACCACGTCAGGCAGGTGCTGGTGTCCAAAGCGAGGGACATCTTCTGTTCTGGCGTGCCGATGCCCATGGTGACGATGTGGTTGCTATAATATTGGAATTCGCCGGTGGAATTGGCAAGGATGACAGGAGTGCGAGCAACATCATGGGTCTTCAGTTTTCTTGGATTCATGAGCTACTGCTCGTTAGGTGCACATGGACTGTTCCTGTGGACGAGTTCCAATACTGCTAATGATGAGTGCCTATTCTTCATACCTGCACATTCATGAATTTGTTTGGAACTCTTTGTTTCGTTTTTCAGTAGGTCCTGCATTCATCGACCTACTGATCTTCATTTGTGACTTGCAACTATCAGATGTCATTGAGTGGCTATGTTTTTCCTCAAAGGTTTTAACGACGTATCCATTCAATCCATCATATAGCACCACAATCTTGGCAGTACAACCTACTCAGTTGGACACACTACATCTTGTCACATGTCCTTTAGCATGTAACGTGGGGCTGATGACTGCATGATGCTTATATCCCTCTCGCGAGCACACGAGATATTTCCAAATAACCGTCTTGATACGTGCTTTCACCAATGTGCTATGTCTCACGTCAAATCCAACAGTAAGAGCATAAGTATTGTAGAAGTTCATCGCTTCATGCTTCATGTACTTCCCAGAATTGTCGTCCTTGATATGGTTTAATCGATTCGTCATAGTGTGCTATCCAATGTTTTGTTCTACCCAGTGTGATTAAAAGTTGTTGATGTGTAATCGGTAGTTGCATGCTAAGTGTCGTTTCCAGGAAAAAGAAATTAGTCTAAACACAACAATTGCACCGATGTGAACAAACAATTGCACGCAATATAATCGACTGTTGCACTTTATCACAGTATATAAAATTATCCTCAATACATGGTTGAGAGTCATTTAATTCCATCGTTAATGCGGCTCAACCAAGAAAATGTATGAAATCCATAAAAGAACATGAAAAAACAAAGTATATCAAATCAATTATCCACTAATTACTATATGAATAAAACATATTTTGACATGTTGATAATTGAACCAACCACAAATAATTTCATACAATAATTGACCAATTGTTCGGTTTATAGTTGGTGATAGATAAACCTGAGGCCGTCGAGTATGTATTATGGCGGTTCTATCAGAAGTTTCGGACTTGCGAATGTAAAATTGGTATGGAAATCACCTGGAATATGAGAAATTCGAGCGCAAAATAGTGAATATCGATAGTGAAATTTCAAGCGAGAGAAATATACGCCATTGATTTCATGTTAATTGCTCACGAAATTCCCGAGCAGCAGGAATTTGAGGTATAAACTTAGGTGGGGGAATACGATGTATGAGTTAAGATGAGGGTTTCCAGCTGCAGGACTTCAATAATTCACGAAATCTCTGTATTTACGTTATTACCCTCCAATTGATGGGGTGATTAAATTCCAGCGGGTCTGTGCTGACCGTCCGATTTCATTGATCGTGTGTACCTAATTTATTCTTATTTCTTTCATTAAGAGTCATTCTCACCAGAACCCAACCATATATATATACATATATAGAGAAGGGATCATATGAGAAAGGAAGATAGTGAAAAAAATAAGAATAATCTTAGACCATTGGATCAATCAAATCAATGGTATTGATGAAGTCAAATTTTAATAAATGGCAGTCAAACATAATGGCAATTTTGCAAATAATTGTACATATCATAGTCAAATATATAGATTTAACCACTCAATAAGGGCAAAGTAGACATTTCATACTCATATTAATCCACTCTACTGGGCCCACCACCTACCTTTGACCACCACCTCTCCAATCTTCCATTTCTGTTTCTCTCACCTACACCATATACTCAATTCACGCAGAAACCAAAAAAAAAAAA